GTCGCTAGAGAAGTCTCTCATCATATCAGTCATTTTGCATGGGGCAAAAACGAGTACTCTGTCGTATGGAGAAGAGAAGGTTTTTGGGATTCAAGGGTAGAGTGACGAACCGTATGAGCTTTTTAACGGAATTTTCATAGTTAAGTGCGTAAAAGTACCAATACTGCGCTTCCTTGAGCATGTTGTACACGTAGATGAAGATCCTTCAACTCAGCATCCGTCGGTGGAAAACGAAAGCAAGGGCGCCTACGAATAAAATGGAGGCACCATGTGTAGAAGGACGTAATGGAGAGCGGCAACTGCTGAAGTTTGTTGGACATGAAAAAAATATTAGTGCCAAATAAACCGATTAACATTGACATTTATCTACTTTCACTTAATTTTGGTTTTTGATTACTTTCATGGCGAATTTACGTACATATTTTCTTTGCCACATTTGTCATCACAAAGCAGTTGGCAGTCGTTAACAATTCCAATTGCCTGCGATGACCAATTCATCAATTATGTGTATGTTTGTGTGAGCGCATGCTATGGGTCATTGAGCGCATGTTCGAATGTACGTTGATATGTACGTAAGCAATGTGATCTACTCTGATGCCTCGCAGTGGAAGAAAAGTGCATTCAAATAGTTTACCTTTTTCATTTCCACAGGTATTTTTAATTTACTTGCGTTGAATTTTGCATAGATTTCTCCTTAAAGGGATCGACTTTGTTGATTGTAGTGCAAGGATTTTTTACAGTGACTTGATTTGAATTTAGGTTGAGGGAAATTGCATGAGGAGATTTTCAGTTTTCATTTACTTCCACATATGCAGCAAATAGTATTGCGTGCATGACCACTGGCATGCGCATGAGGTTAACTGAAATTTTATGAAATTCATTTTTAATATATGTATACGATTATGAAGACGAAATGCCATTTCTGTTTAGTTAAACCAGAAACGAAAACAATTTCAATTGCTACTTAAATTATATCATGAATTCGTCACCATTTCATAACTCCTAAATAAACCATATTTATGCATATTCGTATAACTACTACTTATGCGTGGGAGTGCAGCCCTTCAAGTTGCATGCAGCACAATGTTCAATTGCACAAACGCTTGCATAAAGATAGCCAACTACTGGTTTGCCATTCGAAAAATTCAAGATTTGCCGAGTGAGGCAAGTGAGCGCGTTACCTTTCTAGCTACATATACAATTTCAGTGTTGCTTAAGTAAGTACCGGTTCCCGCTGAAATACTTATTATCAAAATCATATGGCCTACTGCCACTGCAATATGCCGTAGGAACGTGAAGTACAAACGAGAGTTAATACATACATATATATATATATATACATAAGTATGTATGTATTTACCTGCAATAGCGAGAAATCCACTTTGATTAGCCGCTGCTTGGAGCGCGGCGTTGTGTGCGGCTCCACGTTCTCTGTCATTTTCAGCGCATTAACTGTTGCATGTTGCATTGGCGCTGTTGTTGTTGTTGCTTTTGATGTTGCAGACGATGAATTGATTAGTGTTGCTGTTGTTATTGCTGGTGTTGTTGTCGCCATTAGCGTTGTGGTTGGTGGGAGCACTGCAAGTGAAAGGAAAAGGAAATGTTTGCAATTTTATTTGGGATAAATTAGGTAATGCGAATAAGCCATCGTAGTTATAGTTCTTTTCTAAATCGCAATTTGAAAACAAAATTTTTAAATTTCGGCACTGTCCTCTTTTTTATTTCGGTTTGCATATCGGACAGATGCTTAATCCAAGCGATTAAAATGTTTTCAGAAGTGGCCAGTTTCAGGAGGCTATGCCAAAAGACAGAGTATATTCGTATTACCCAGATGGAAACGTTCTAGTAAAAGACCATAGGTCGCATTGATTATAACCCAGAAGAAATCTGGATCATTCCAATTTCCAGATCGTTTATCATTAGGGTGCACTGTCCACTTACGGAACAATTTTTAATTTTCTGTGCAAGAAAAGTTCGTGTCTTAAATCTTTCGTTGACTTCATTTGCATAATTATGTTTCGGTCCTTTTTTCGATTTATTTTAATATCCAAACATTTCAAACTAATGGAATGGTATGAAAAAAAATATTTTAAGACTTCCTTTCTTCGCGAGTAGTTTAGAAAAGATTTGTTCCTGTTTCGTTCTCTTAGAAATGTTACCGAAAGTGATGGGGTGCAATAACTCCATACGCAATAAAGCAATATGGTCCTATTTGCATTTTGTTTTGGAAATAAAACCAGATGACGTTGTTTTCAATCCAGAAGGGAAATAAACTCATATTCAAAATTGCAAAAAATAGTAATAAAGTCATTAATTAAGTAATTGAAATTACAACCGCTTGAACTAAAAATGCATGTCTGACCATACTATTTGTGGATCACATTTTTCCTATTATTTGACCATGAGCGTGTTCCCTTATTATTCAGTCCGGATCTAGAAGAGAATAGTCGTTTAGTTTATCTGGAACAATGGTTATAAAGAAACAGAAGAGAATTGGGGAACAACGTTCTAATGAATAAGTGAACAGAAAAATGTATTCCGAATGTTCGGAATATGAATAAAGAAACTCTGGGCGTGTGTTAAAATTGTTATGGTAATTTTCCAGTTTACGAACACTTAGGGAAAATCATTGGTAATGATCAAATTATTTCGTCAAAAGGGGTATCAAATAGATGCGTTTCAAATTCCCAGTAATATGAATCCCGGAACGGAAATTAACTTTTTTTTAATATTTCAAAAGTTATCTGTAGAAAATATATTCCGAACGTCGTTTACGATGTTAATTCAAGGCGGCACCTTTAAATCATAAAAACTAACAGCCTTTCTTAAAAACTCTTTTGAGTACCTACTAATAATTCAAATAATTATGAATGAAGTTTTCTAAATTCGGCTTTGCCATAGGCAATATTTTTGCGCGCACTACTTCTTTTTGAGTAGGCGACCTTCGGCCGCAGCTTCAAAGCACCAGCTCTAGCCGTACCAATATCTCGGCTACGCTGATACTGAATTATTTAAATTGATACAAATTATTACTAATAAAATGAAATAAACAATTATTTGATATTTCCGGATTTATTGGATATTAAAAAATAAATATATGTACTTATGTAAGTTTTAATTTTGCGAGTGCATAACTTGGCGGGTGCACATTTTTACGCTTCCCAGCGCCGCGCTCGCGACTCCCGCGTCCCGCTGCACTGCTCTCGCGCACAATCCCAGGTATACTAGAAATCCACACCATGGGACATTGTTTTTGATTGTCATTAATCTTCGAGTGAATATTCGTTTTTCGATTTTGCGACAAAGGAG